TACCTTGATAAAGACTGTACAGCTTCAGTAAAGATGCAGCCGCTTGGAGTTGAGAAAAAGATGGATTTTTTTATAAAATATTAAAAGTGTTGAGAAAGGATGGAGTTCAAAACCTCAACATCTACACCCAGAAGCAGATGGGCTAGACTGGCAAAGTCGGGACTTCTTTTTTGATTTATAAGAAGAAATAATTAATTGTTTTTTTAGCGTGATCGCGAAAACTAACGTGACCGCGAAATAAATCCCGACTGGACACATCTGCGGGCATTTGACTGATATTAATTATTCATGATGTCATTGATTATTCATGATGGGTGTGTGAACGTAAACATGATCTTTTAAAGGTTGGGTCATGAATGTTCTGCTGCTTGTCGTATCTTGTAGTTCAGAACTGAAAATGTAGCTGGAACGGGATAAACTGTTGCAGTGTAGTGTAGGTTAGAATTATGGTGGTAGTGGTGCTGGGGGTTAGTTATTTCACTCTCAAAAATGACAACGGAAATGTGATTCAAACATCGGAGCTGCACTCTGATTCGTTGTCAGTGCTAGTCAACAACTTTAATTAGCATAATCACCGGAGAGATTCCGCTCCGGTTTTCACTCCAATGCAGAGGGTCGCCTACAGATGCGTCCAGTCGAGATTTCTTTCTCGGGCACGCTAGTTTTCGTGACCACACAAAAAAGACTAAATTTACAATTTTTTTTTTGTAAAACAAAAAAGAAGACCCGACTTTTCCAGTCTACAGATGGGCCTACAATAGCTGTTTGTATTGATGCAAATCAACCTCCGTTTAACGAGCTTGCAGAATCTTTCAATTTTATCATTTTTCGTTGTATAAGTCATAAACACTCACTTGATAGATTGATTTGATTCACAGATATAAAAACTACAGTTTTGGTCTGAGTCTGGTAAATTACATTAGGGCGCAAGTCGGCCGGGGTTAAACACACGCGGTGGTGTAAAATCATAATGTTGATATTTTTGCGATGAGCCAAAGGGAGCATCCAATGAAATATAAGGACAAGTAAGAGTGTGTACTCAAACTCGATTCCATGGTAATGACGTCTTTATAATAGCGTTAAACTCTATCTGACGGCAATTTTGAATTAAATATAGGTCAAAAGGTTCATTATTCTAAAATTAATTTGGATATTCATTTTATTTGTTTTATATTTTAAAATAAGCTCTCGCGGGGAATAACTTCTAAAACTTTTATGAAATTGATGTGTAAATAGTGTGTTGCCTGCTACCATCCTTAATGGTTTTGTGTTAAAATTAATTGGACCGACAGTTTAGGTAGTACATCGGTTTGGATCAGTATGTAGCCAGCAATACAAAATATATCTATTACGATAAATATAATCCACGACTTCATGTCTTGACTTTACATGGTGACATATAAACATTTATTAAGTTAGGAACCTGAAATACAAGAAATACATATATGAATTATTTTTTAATAGTTTTTCATATTCACTTATATACTTAAAATGCAAATGTATTTTGTCCCTTCTAAAATACACTAGCAGGCTATTCATTATGTGTTAATAATTAGGTAGGGAAGTCAATTAATTAACGGGGGTCATTTTTGTACAATCCTATAACGGCCCACCATCGGGCATTAAAACTGAATTGCCAGTGATGAGAGTGTTCTGGTGTGCACATATCTTTCACAAACACTTAATAACAAGAATAACCCATGACAGTGAACAATTCCGCGATCCTGATGATAAAAACGCTACCAATAAAAGTAATATTTATGGGACACAAACCCTCTCAAAAGCTAAACGCTTAATTAGTGTAGTTGTTCGTCGTTTAAAACAAAGTGCGACTGCAGACAAAAAAAAAAAAAAAACAATATTGATGCCGTAAACAGCTTTTTATTCATCAATTTACGTTACGGAAAATTTTCAGCGCCAGAAGGCGTAACTTAATTATTGATTAAAGATTAACAAGATTCACTATGGAACGGTGAAAACCGAAATAATGTTTCTATGGGAACGTGACCCATATACATTCAGATTGATCAATCAAAGCCATTTTGATTTTTTGTATGGATGGTATGTGCTATGACAACGTACGTATTTTGACAAAACTGACACACATTAATGAAACCTATATTGTAGTATTTTTCAAGTATATACATTTCCATTCAAATATGTTAAAATGTTAAATGCGATGATCTGTTTTATTATTAAGATGATTACTATTATTTATCCAGTTAAAACACTTGTTACCCAACTTGCCTCCCAGTGGTGGCTGATACGGCTATTTATGTTTTGCACCAGAAAGCAATTTAGTTTTCTAAGCCTAGTTCAATAAATTAACAACTCAAACATTGACGGTAATATAACAATATTACGTTATTTTGAGGACATCGCAAAGTAGAAGTACGTACGAAGACAGTGAAGTGAGAGTAGCGGATGACACTTTTCGATATCCCCGTCATAATTGTATTTTATACCACTTCCTAATCCACGCGATTTGTTTAGAAAAAAAAAATTTGAACATTATTGGAACATTATTCTCACACTGAACTTTCCTCTCGGAAACGTCCGCCATCGTGAAACATTAAAATACGACATTACACAAATCATATTCACATGAAACATTGACGGTAATATAAAAATATTACGTTATTTTGAGGACATCGCAAAGTAGAAGTACGTACGAAGACAGTGAAGTGAGAATAGCGGGTGACACTTTTCGATATCCCCGTCATAATTGTATTTTATACCACTTCCTAATCCACGCGATTTGTTTAGGAAAAAAAATATTTGAACATTATTGGAACATTATTCTCACACTGAACTTTCCTCTCAGAAACGTTCACCATCGTGAAACATTAAAATACGACATTACACAAATCATATTCACATGAAACATTGACGGTAATATTGTCATGAATTTGTTTTCGCGTATCTGTTAACCGACTTAATTAACTGATTATTAGCGAATTGCTGTGTTATGTCTGTCATCGTTCAGGTCTATTTGAAGTTTTGGACGGAACTTGGCTCAGTGATTTGGAACTAATTACCAGATAACCGCCGCTTTGTAGACTACTCATTCTGACAGTTTATATCCATAGTTATTAATGTAGTGAACGATTAATCAAAAGATATAACGTATTCAGTACTTAGTGTGATTGGCTTTATGATTGAAGGTTACGCCCTAGAGTCTTTTTACTGTTTTGTAATTGGTTAGAGTTTTGAAAATGAATAAAGAGAGTTTGAGTTGGTCTTGACGAACACAGCACGATAGACGCAGAAGAGAGAGAGAGTGCAGTCGAGAGTCCAGTCCAGGGGCGAGCCTTGAGGCAGTCCAGTCTTGGGCGAGTCTTGGTTCAGCCTTGCGAGAGTCTTGGGGATTTTTTCCCCAGGGCGCTGTGTCTTATAGTGTGCTCGATTGACCGACTAAGACGAGAGCTGAAACGTATTTCGTTGTGTGTGTCTTATTTGACTGTAAAGTATAAGTGACTTTCCCGATCCCGTACCTCAAGGGGACGAGATAGAGAGACGAGACGAGTTTCCCCCCTGGCAAGTGTGGAGACCCCGAGAGAAAAGAATATCCCCCGTGATAATATAACAATATTACGTTATTTTGAGGACATCGCAAAGTAGAAGTACGTACAAAGACAGTGAAGTGAGAGTAGCGGGTGACACTTTTCGATATCCCCGTCATAATTGTATTTTATACCTCTTCCTAATCCACGCGATTTGTTTAGGAAAAAAAAATATTTGAACATTATTGGAACATTATTCTCACACTGAACTTTCCTCTCAGAAACGTCCGCCATCGTGAAACATTAAAATACGACATTACACAAATCATATTCACATAGAAAATCTAAATATTCCTGTTTATCTTAACAACATTTCTGTGGAATCCAAATTACTTCATAACTAGTCTCTGATAGATACGTTAAATTGATTGACCTCAATATATGTTTGACCTACATTTGTGTAATTTTCTTTTCTTTTCATCCACACATCCACATTATCTTCAAGACCTCTTTTAAAGGAAATGAAATGTGTTATTTTTTTGGGCTTCCTTGTCCCCGTACAAAAAATTATTGTCATTGTAATTGAATGAACGAATTAACTTTGTTCTCATTGATGTCAACAACAATCCGTATGAATACATATGATGCCGATCGTGATGTCTCAAAAACAAACCTTCCACATCTGGTGACAATGCATCTTCGCATATTAGCTACAAACAATGAAACCTACACGTCCTCAACAAAATGAGGATAACAACGTCAGTGTTCATTTCCCATTTGAGTCGGCAGTGTGTTGGAGTACGTTACACGAGAAAGACTGTATTACACGAGCAGCGTCGCGGACATGGTTAAAATAGGGTTATTCCCCGCTGTGCTATGTGTCTTTATTGCACTTGGTACCTGTGTCAATGGAAAACATATTCAATCCCGTCGGTCGAATTACGATTCTAATGTAAGTTTGTTTTCTTTTCTCTTCCTTGTAAATGCATTATCTCGTGTCATATATCTTCAGTATTCAGTTTAGTTATGCAATGTATAATTTGTTAGGTAATTTTTACCGACAAGTGTTCATACGTCACAACTTCTACATAATTTAATAATAACGTAAATCGATCAGGACTTTTACAATCGAAGTCACAGGCATATTAACTCACAGCGCGTGACTTGAAATTACGACTAGAAAAATGATCCACGCCACTGTAGTAAAACCCGGTCCCGTTACGCACGCACTGCTCGCTACGGTATAAAATGATGATATTTAACGCTGGCTACCTGTAACCATTCGTAACACCTGGAATTCATTATTATATTTCGCCCTACCGAGCCAAATAGTCGAGGCTCAGCTATTCGGGTGTTGCTTAATAACCTGATACCTAAATCTATACAGTGACATCTATAGTGTTGGTTGCGAAAACCAAAACCTACCACTTTCGCATCGGGATAATGTATACATAGGTACATTACGTAGTAACATTTATGATATCCATATTGCTCAGTTTGGCCAACAAAGTCAATCCAGTTCCTCGATTATATGAACAATATATGGCTTATCGGCTGAAATATCTCTATATCCGATTGGGCAAAATGGTGCAACAACATTACGTTACTCACCCGGCAAACCCAGATTTCATTATTTTATTTTGTTCAGAAGCACGACGTCTAAAATATACTTTGACTGCGTTGGCACTCAAAATACCACAATCAAGACCCCCGACTTTATAACTGGGATCATGCTTATACAAGTACAGGAAATGATAATATATGCCACTACGTTTTATCGTGTCGATAACGTATTTATTAGAGAGTTTAAGATTGGCGTACGTAACGAGAACGTAACGTGATGTTCTAATTTCGTTTGCGTTACGTTCCCGGGTGTCAGAAAACGATTAAGTACAAGCGTCCACAACGGGATCGTAACTGAAACCAGAACCATGTCAATCCGTCTATCATTGGGCAACCATAATATCCAATAAAATTTGTTATGTCATTTCACGTTCGGAATCAGAATCAGTAGTTAGTTCACAGACATTTGACAGAGCTCTCGCTATTTCCATCCACTCTCTGCTGAGGTCCCAGGCCTGCAGACGTCTTTCAGCAGAACAATGTCATGTGTTTTCAGTGGGTATAAATATCAGCTAAACTGCATCCAATATTTCTTATTTTATCATAAATATACAAAATCACTCTAATATAAAACGTTTTATCAATGTCAGTGAAAATTAATCAAAATTGACAGCGAGAAAAGCTCTCGGAAATCAACTACGAGTCAGTCACCTTGATCACGTTCAAAACGACTGCCGTACGACCAGGCAACCGATGACGTCATTGGTTCCGTTCTCGTATGCGCATCTTAATGTCTCTATTATAGAATTATCAATAACAGTGGATTTTATGACGTCATTGCAGCAGATTATTCGCGATAAGGCATGCCATTGAGCATCAAGGCCCCGTACCATGGATATGAATGCAATGTTGTTGTTGAAAACGAATAAAGTAGAAACTACTTAAAATAAAGAAAAATTGTTAGATAACAAGTAATTAAAATTAAAAACGTCATCAAATAAAATGGTCCATTGCCTATATCAACGGATTTTAATATAGAAATACGACAATTTTGTGAAGGCAACGCTGCTCTGTACGCTATAGTGCGTTCGATCGCAGCGTTCCATCTGGAACGCGCGCTTCTAGAATCCCGACTGATGCTGTTGTTCCGGTCATGGCCTCCTGACTCGGTCGCCCGATCGTGTCGATGAACTAAGTTTAGTCCGGGGTGATTCGTCCAGCAAATGTATGTCCACATACCGCGAGTACAGAGAGATGATTTCTATTTTTTGTAATGAGTAGTACTACACCATTTGCAAAACGATATCAACGAATGACCGACGGTGACTTGTATTTTCTCAGCGTCAAGCTTTCGAGCTTTCCAGTCATATTCGTTTGCTCACTACGCCTCTAAGTTTGTTTGCCTCTCGTAGAATTTGAAAATAACTATTACACAGACAGGACAGGTGTCAGTAACATCTACCTTGATGATTTAAAAACACTTGTGGAATGGGGTAACGATACGACTACGTACTTGTACCCCGGGTACGCACCTATACGCACAGTCGTTCCGCGGCGGCGATCTAGCGTCGTAGCTTTGTCCAAGATCGCGGCGGACACCGAAACGGCGTACCAGTTATGGTGCACGTGCTCTTCGCTCAGGCAATCACTACAGCGCTGCTCCACATCACGTCAGTCACTTGTCTACTCGCAATGAAAATAATTTACATACATGTACAATGTTATTTGATGGATTAAAACTAGTTCCGTGCACTGTGGACTTCTCTCCAAGTCTTCCGCAGCAAATCCACTGCTATTGACAACACTATAAAATAATAACAATAATGAACAAAACAGAGATATTAATTCATTCAAATTCCACATATAAGCACAATGATGATATACACATTCAGTACAATTAGTGTTTCCCATCTGGTGACGGGACATTTCTTGCACAGTAAGTATTAACAACCAACCCGACGCGGTTCAGGTGAAAAAAAATCACTTGTTTTAATCCGTTGTTTGCCATATTGTTGGTTAAAACTACCAGATTATAGTCATGCGAAACATCGATCTATTCTATGCTAATTAATTATGTACATAGGAGTGCGTTGGCAGAAGTGCGGAATCAAGATATTGAACTTAATGTACGTTAGTTTTTACAGAATCGTTACATTTTCGATTTAGTTTAGGAACGTATTAATTACGTGTCGGAAAGGAATTGTCGGTATAATCCAAAATTGTCAATTTCGGTATTCAATTGTACGTCGTAAATGAATACAGATGCATTTACTCAGAGGCAGTACGGAAATTACGTTGTCATTCAATTTGTTACACTGGGCGTCTACAAGATTGTACCACCTCCCACAGCCTAGATCGTGGCGTTTTGACACGACACGAACATTTGTTCAATAGTTAGTAAATGACTGTTCACAAATAGTGTGACTTCCTACTGTAATTTTGATTTAAGCATTGTTAATGAGTCGAACTATTTGAGAAGTGTACTTGAATGCAGCACACTCACGTAATCTGCTGGTTTCTCCTCAGGTCACAGTCCTGCCGTTACAAGACGCCATTAACTTGATTGACTTGAACGAAACAAATACTGAAATGAGGAGACAAACTATGGGTATCTTTCCCAGTAAGTGTATTATATTTGTCAACTGTTAGTTATGGAAATGCTTGCTCTAAAAATAACTCAAATAGTTTACATCGATATTTGATAATGACAATATAATTGTATACACTTCACATGTGACATAACATATATAGATTGCATATTAAAATTAATTTGGACTTTTTTCAAATGTTGGGCAAACATTTGTTTCTTGACATATTAATTTAGCTGTTTCAATAGAACTGATACGACAAGCTCTCGTTTGGATCAAGAGCCACGATACTTTCTGCACCTTGCATAGAGTTTCACTCTCTCTCTCTATGTTCATCACACCCACTGAGTGACCCAAAACACGTGTTCAAAAGAAATGTGTTCAGATAGGAAATAGTTCACCTAATGCGCTATTGTAAATCAAATATGATTCCGTTCATGTGAGCGGAGAGAAACTAAAACCTATAATATTAACTACGCTTTTAATGACATATATAAATGCAACTAGTACTTAATTATTTACTTACTTACTGATGCTGCGTCAATTCCCGAATTACCGTCAGACGCGATGTAATTCTATTTGCGCAAGTGTAACATACCTAGCGACGGGCGAAAGACACCGGTAGACATGCAACCCGGAAGAAGTCAATGACATATTTGAAATAGTGTTTTCAAAAATAGCGGAGTGAGTGCGGGTGGGTACAAACGAGGACAGTACAGCTAGAATAACTAAGTAAGACAGCTGAGAAACCTGGATTTCTAGTTGAAAAAGATGAATTTTCAGAGAAAATAGACTGAAATTGAGAAGATACGTGTTTGTTTCACAGAGTAAGTATGACTAAATACCAGAAAAAAAATAGGAAAATATTACGCGATAGCCAAAGATAATTTGCATGCTCGTATTTCTTGCTTAGGCAGAATAGTGTGCACATTTTCAGGGACTTCTACGAGTTAGTTGAAAGATGATGGCAGTTTTATTTCAGGAGAATTTTGACGCTATCAATTCGGGAACCGGGAATTGTGGCTCACTATCACATGAAGAATAGAGTTCTTAAATGAGTAGGCACATTCTGATTTATGGTAAATGACATTCAAGATATACTTTTTTAATCAATTTTTGAATATTTAATAGGAAACAAATTGTTTTACCATGTTTTTTTCACGCATGAGCTATGCATTTATATTCACTCCATAGAATGGGGTCTACACAGTATGCGTTATAAACTAATATACATGTACACGCAAACGATTATA